GATCTCCGATCCAAGATCTACATTCCTTTTCTTTGGTTTATGCAGATTTGGATGATCAAATTTGCAAATTCGTAGTAATGAATAGAACAATCGTAAAATAGTAAATTAGGACGTTTTGAAATATTTGTAAAATTATCTATGCAGTAGATCTATAATATGACATGCTTTAGTTTAAAGTTTTTGTTGTAAAAATCAATTTATGTAGTTATGTTTTTAATATTTGTTGTGTCTTGTCTTTTTAATAACTGCAGTTGTTGTGCTCAAATAAATGTGAAATTTTTTGACTGCTACTCAGTTGATGGTTGGTGTCTGATAAAAATTTCATGATTTTAAGCTTGATAGTTTAAGATCTATAAAAATAACAAATGTCCTATGTTGCTTTGCTCCTATTCTGAATAGGCATGCATGTTTGTATTAATTAGCTCAGCTAAGTTATGAATCATGCCTTGATGACAATAAATGAGTTATAGTACTTTTCTTAAGATTTTTAAAAATCTAAAAAGCATAATTTTTTATTAAGTAGATTTTTAGTTATAGTTGCTTAAATTTATGTGGCTGTTTCGATCCCAAATCTAGACAGGGTTGTCTTGTTGGTACTGTGGGGCCTTTTTAATAGTAGAATGAGCTCTAGGTGTTTATAACAAAGTTGTTTAAAATTTACTAAGATTTCTAAAAGTCTAGAACCACAATTATTGGACATGTGGAAACTCTAGTTATAGCCGTTTAAAGTTGCATATCAGATTTTATCCATGTTTTAAACAGAGATGCATTCATTGGATTAATTGACCTTGTAACTGTAGAATCATCTTAAGATGAGAATAATAAAGTTGTCGATAAATTCATAAGATTTTCGAAAAGTTATTATTCATGTTTTTTAGAGGTCTAGAACTTCAGTTATGCTTCTCTAAAATGTCTATCAGTTTTCTATCTATAATTGTACCTCTGCTGTTGAGCTATATGTGCAGTTTTGATTGTGCAATTATTTTCGTGGTGTAAATGATATTTGTTGTGGTTTTGGTGAATACAAAAGTTGTATATAATTATCATATTTTTCTTGTGTTAAATTTTTATGATCTCAGGTTTGATAGTTTAGGAGTTATGAATTTGACAAATGATCTGTCATGTTTGGTCGATGTTCTGAGCAGATTTGAAGAATTGCATTGTTTGACCTAATTAAGTATGAAATCATGTCTTAGTGATAATATAAGAGTTATAGTGCTTTTCTTAAGCTTTCTAAATTATCCTAGATCACCACTTTTGGTGTTGTAGAGCTCAGTAATAAGCTTGTGAAGTTGCATGATAGAATATGTCCAAGTTTGAATAGAGGTGCTCAATTGTTTTTGATTGACCTTGTTAATTGTGGAATCACCTTGTGATGATAATAAATATGTTTTAGATAATTTAATAAGCTTTCTAAAAAGTTAAGATTCATGCTTGTTTGATGTCCATAACTCTAGTTATGCATTGTTGAAATTATTACTACTTTTCTGTTCTATATTCGTGCAGATCTAAAATATTGGCATGTTTGACCTGGTTAGCTTTGGAATAAGCTTTTGATGATAATAATAATGTTGTAGGCAATTTCATTAGATTTTCAGAAAGTCTAGGGTCATCCTTATTGGATGTTTATATCTCCAATTATGGTTAAAACAAGTGACTGATGTGCTGCTGTCTAAATTTCTATACATGTGCTAGGTGATTGCTTTAGCTTGCTCTTGTTTTGGCTAAACATGTTGGTTAGTTCTTGATCGATGCATAGGTGCAATATCTGAACTTAAGTTCACTTATGTGCCATGCCTAATATGCTTGCTATTCCTCTATAATAGGTTGTGTGATGTTTACTTAAATAACTTTAGGTGCCTATGTCTTGCATGATCTTATGTTTGTCTTGAATGCTATTATGTGATGCATCTCATATTATCATTCTTCATATCCATGCACTTGCATCTTGCATCTCATCTAGATATGTTAGATGAACCACGTGAAGGACGTGATATTGGAGCCGAACCTGAAGATGGTGTATGGTGGACCTATCCCGAAGATGGAAGGACTAAGCAAGTACCGAGATGGGAGATACTCACCAAGCGAGTGTCGTCTAACAAACACTGACCTAGTGTTGGATCCCAGGCAAGCCCCAGAGCATTCTAAACCTCATATGTTTTTACAAATATCACTGAAGTTTTTTATGTTTAATGCATTAGGTTATAAGAGTTGATTGGAACCACTTGATGCATAGAACTACCTTATCCAGAAATATACCTTATATAGGTCCAGGATCGAATGTATCTTAGTAATGCTTAGACCGGTAGAAGTCGGGTGATTTCCTGTCACCTGCGAGATATAGGTGGATGCCAAAGCCCGATTGGCTATATTTGCTATCATGGAAATAACCATATGTTGATGAATAAAAAGGAGACCAGACGAGATTGTGATAGAGAAGCAACAAGGCTTGGAGGTCTTGAGTGTGGATCTATCCCCATCTATGTCGGTTAAGGACCGATTAGCTGTATGTCCTCATGTCATGTTGAACGCATGCCTATCACTTAGTTAGTCGGATAACTCGTTCCGACCGTGAAGCTGAGTAGCTCAACTCAGGCTGAAAGTCAGGAAGTGAAAGTGCGCACTCTGGCGGTAGTAAGGATGTGCGGGGAGCCATTGGCGTAAGTCTGAGGGCAGATTGACGTCCTGGCAGAGTGGATTCCCTGAGAGTGCGATGCTGCTCGGGCCCGTGAATTTAGTTTCTGAGTTGTACCAAAGGTGACCTAAGACTACCTTGGCGTAGGTATGTCTGAGTTTGTGTTAGTAATAATTCCCCAGCTGGGTAGGAATCGATTCAAATCGCCGTCTTTCTCGGATAGTAAGAACTTGACTGAGCAGCGGCAACGTAGAGTAACTTAATGGAAACTTGATGGTTATAATGATGATACTCATAGTACTACACCGGCTATGGTTACTATTGTCTGTTACTAAATGATATTCCACATGTTTGGCACAGGTTAGTCGCTAATCTAGAGATGAATAGTTATAATTAATTTGGTTATCGAATTGTAAAATGTATAGCCCAACTAGTGGCTTTTATGTAAAATTTTGTCAAGCTAGCTCCATCTATAAAGACTTGCATACTACTTGGTGTCACTTTATTTCTGGTTTATGACGGATAAGTTTAGCTGAGTATATTCGAGTACTCAAGGTTTATCCCACCATGTTACAAGTAAAGATCTCGCCCTGCTGAAGATGGTGGCTAACCGTCGGTAGGCTCGGTGACTCTATATTTATTTCTCATCTATATGCTTTTATTAGAGGATGTCACTTATGCTAGAAATATATTTGGAACTTATATTAATGTAATTATTTGAAAGCTATGTTGTTTTTACTAATTGGTTTTAAAACCCAAACTTATACTATTATTTGTGAATCTATTTTTAATATTATTTCTGCTGTAACTCTGTGTATGTGATGTGTATTTGCTTAATCACACAATCTTGGTTGTGATATTGATTTACCGAGGTCCTTCATGACACTCGATGAACTACCAATTTATATAAGTGAAAGTATACGTGTGTCAACGTGTTAGCGAGGACAGCCATATTTAATCTTATATAAATTGAGTGGCTCTGTTGCGGTTGACTACGCTCGCGGAGGTCGCGGCGGCAGTGGCGTTCGCGGGCATGCTCCTCGCGTACGCTCTGCTGATGGCGCTCACGGAGCCTCCTCGCTGCCAGCGGCGCTCGCAGAGGTGCTTACAGCCGGTTGTGCTTGCGGCCTGCGGCACTCGCGACGGCAGTGGCGCTCACGGCCGTGCTCCACATGTGCGCTCTCCTCCAAGGTCCACTGTACGGTTCCTCGCTCTCTTTCAACCTTTCCATCTGTTCAAATCAACTCTCTCATACCTATAGAGCTCTCGAACTCTCAGATCCACAAGAGTGCGGCTCGATTCATGGTTGGTGCAACCTCCTCGACAGATCCACACGGCAGGATCCATGTCATGGTGGGCTGGACTGCGACGTGAATGCCATGGATGAGGCAGTGAAGACAGATGTGTGTTTCGTATCCATTAAAAATCCAAGCATTATTAATTGGTACTCATAATTCTTTTCATATGTTTGGTCATATTTTCCTCCTATAAGGCTATAACTGTCTTCATAACCTGGCTTTTAGAATTGTTTACTACTTTCAATTTTATAACTAACATATTTCCTACCAACCTTTGTATACGCATCACAAAATACATTATGTTTCACCAAATATTCAAATAGATATAGGACACCACAAATTTCCGGAGCAACGCACGGTTTGTCATCTAGTACCATTAAAAGTGCACGTTTCCTATATTCTGTACCTCTATCCTAGAAGGTACCTGAAAGTGAAGATGAAGTAGTAGCAAGAAAGAAAGGGTTCGGTCCAAAAGTTAGAGAAAAATAATGATGGTTGGATTTAGATCACATGGTTGCTATTTGTTGCCTGAAAAGAAAGAAAAAAAATCAGACGCCTGTGATTTGGCAACAAAGCACATCGTAATAAACAAAGTAAAAGCTGAACACGTTTTATAGGGGCAAAGGCACTCATATGTCGTTGGGGATTTAGGGGCATAAAACTCCAAAGCTGCTCGATCGCCAAAATAAAAAGAAGTACGACGACCCAAGATCACGTAGCAGATATCAGCAGTCGCACAGAATTTTGAAACGACAAGTCATGCTATTCTGACGAGCTCCTGTGATTTGGCAACAAAGCACATCGTAATAATAAACAACGTAAAAACTGAACACGTTTTATGGGGAGTAAGGCACTCATATGTTGGGAATTTAGGGGCATAAAACTCCAAAGCTGCTCGATTGCCAAAATAAAAAGAAGTACGACCCAAGATCACGTAGCAGATATCAGCACTCGCACAGAATTTTGGAACGACAAATCATGCTATTCTGTGAGCTTAATTGTACCTCAGTAGCTTAGGTTGGTTTTCTGTGACAATTCAAAAATGAAATAACTAAGTATAATACGTATTACATAGTTTTAGTAGGGAAAAACCATGCTGGAAGTCCTTTGCAGCCTTGTGGACGCACAACTGTTGTGTCCAACAATAATGGAGTGATCATCTTATTTCTCATGTTGAAGACACCACAGTCACGAAGAGGATCTGTTGTCCAATGTTCGTGATCATAGTCACACACAAAGTAGATGCAGTTCTCCTGAGCTCCACATTCACAAGCAGGGAGAGCCTTGGAGGAGCGGGTGCCAACAAAGAGTGCTTGGTTTCGCAAGGTATTGAGCCTTTTCCACTTATGTTTGGAATTGGTGGTCAAGTCCACCTCATAGACTTCAAAAGACAGGGTGACGCAGTTCTTCGCTTCAAACCTTTCATCCTTCGGTAAAGTGGATAAGGCTCCAATTAATCGTCTTACCTGTAACAGTTTACCGCTAGTTGCAACAAGGTAACTCCGATATATGCAGTTGTACGTCTTATCACCAATGGTTAGTTGCATCGTCGTTCCTAGATACTCGACGGCGTTAGCTACATGTTTCATGGATGACACACTTAGCCTCCCATCATCGCTGGCAACAATCTCAAAGGCGAAGAGCTTCTCAAGTGCGAGAGCGTACAACTTCCCTTCGAAGAACGCGGCGTCGTAGATGTACTCTGGCATTATTGTTGTGCGTGCAGCGGGAGCCGAGTGTCGCCGGCCAATAGAAATTACACTCTGAAACCCCCTGGTCACAGTCAGTACAGCGAAAACAGAATCCTCGAGTGACAGATCATCAAGAGTGGAGAGCGGCACCAGCTTGTGGAATATCGAATCCCTTAGGCGGCCATTGGCTTCCACAGGAAGCTGCACGACGCACTTGGAGAAAGGGTTCATCAGTTCGAGCTTGCCATCAGGTCGCTTGAGGAAGAGCCAGTCGCCCACGGAGCCATGAAGAGAGGCATCCTCCGGTACATGCATGCGGTGAATCTCGCCGCTTTGGTCGCCGAGGAAGGTGCCGTCGAGCAAGGTCAACCACGGTAGCGGAGGGGGAAGACCAGGCTCCTGCCGAGCAATGCGACGCCACCCGCGGCAGACTGCTCCCAATCGAACACGGTCGGCTAGGGAGGGAAGGCGCCTGAGCACAAGACCCAGAAGCTCTGGCTGCAGGTCTGCCCAAGACGGGCAGTGTCTGGCCGCCGCCGTCATCACAACGCGCTTCCTGTTTGAGCTGGGGGTGCCGTGCCGCGCCTGGGATCGAGCACCGGCAAGGAAACCGCGCGAACCAGTCGATCGTGATCGAGATGGCGGTGGTGGTTGTTGGTACGGGCGTACGGTGTTGTGACTCGGAAGGCCCAGGGGTAGACGCCATGGATATTTTTATAGCCCCGGCGGCGGTGGTGTCAGGCGGACTCGAGCTTCTGACGGACTCGGATTCTGACATGCAACGTTGCAGCGGCCTATATAGGAAAAAGTGGGCCATGGAGGCTCGGAACACACGATGGATTCCTGATCGTCCAAGCCCGGGTCGTACTCGAACCATGCAAAGCAACTGCCCAACAACCGGTACACCGTACACTGGCCAAGGCCAGAACCGTAGAACGCAAGTACGTAATACTACGTCCGAATCGACTCCGATACATACTACCAACACACATCTGATCTATTTAAGGCCCCCCGTATCGGCATAGGGTCATCTAGCTTGCATACATAGTACAAGCTCAAACATCCTCAATTTTCTGCGAAGGGAAAATCCACAGAATGAATTATAATATGATGAAACCAATAGTTGATTTCATCATATTATCATATATCAGTCGATATCACAGTCATACATCGTAAGATTATAAGAATACAAGATATTACATCACTGGGGAACACACCTATTACAGAGTTAATCTAGCGGAATACTATCGAGTGAAGGCTTCTCTTTCACGGGTCGTCATCAGAGTTGGCGTAGTGCAGCGTAGATTCCATCTCCGAACCAAACTTGAGCGTAGACACGAGACCTCCTAATCCTTCTATAGTCAGCATCTCTGAGAAGCAGAAAATCTGCACACCGCCAGATGTGTGCAGGCCATGGTCAGCACCGATGAGCTTTAGTGGAAAAGATAAAACAAGAGGATCTGGCGATCCTAACATTTGGCTGTGGTTTGCATCCTTAGCGCATAAGAAGTAAGTAACAGTAGTAATGTAATAATAATGTCCAGTTTTTAACACATTCCCAGCCACACACATCCACATCCATCTATATCCATCCACCAACCATCCATCCCAAACCATCTCCACACCACCACACCTTATCTCATCTCACACACTCAGGTCGACAGGCCAACTCCCTCTCGGCCTTGTCTCAACGGCCCGCAGCCCCAAGGCTCACGACCGGAAAAATACCCCAACCCTGGAGGGAGAAAAGAAGGACTCATCTCCTATCTAGTTTAAGCGAAACCCAGGAAAGGTCTATAGCCGACAAGTCGGCATATGTATCGATCGATCAACCATACACTCTGCAGAGGTTTCACATACCCACAAGATAGCCATCCTCGACGGTGCCCCGTCTAGGCAGATTTCCGGCCGCTTGCTAGCCTAGAACGATGCCACCCTACCTCTCAGTCCTGGAACATCCCAAGTCTAGTCTGGGATGGCTGATACTGTGAGTCGTAGACAGAGCCGGGGCCCTCCGGGTGTCAATAGCCGGGTCCACAAGGCCTTCTGAAGTCTCAGAAGGGTGTGGGGAACTCCACGCCCCGTACCTCCTTGCACACGTTCGCCTAGCAGTAGTGGCATCGCTCTACCAAGTAGTTCGACCGTCCCGCACCATATAGGGCGAGTGGGATGTAAAGGATTCCCGGTGAATCTGAGTACTAGTAAGTCCTTAGGGATGACCAAGCCAGAATGTCTTCATCAGGGTTGCCATTTTACGTGCCACCACAGCACCTCCACCCTGGGCTCCTCCCATCACAGGTTCACACCCAAGGCCACCTACAAATACCATTTACCCGCCACATGTATTCCATATCCAAGTGCCCAGGTAGCACCACACGGCAAGACTCGCCCCAGGCTCGTCGTGATTCTAGCTCGATCGACACAACCCTCACTCTCCACGCACCCAAGGCACACACGCAGCATGCTCATACACCACCGTGTCCGGCTTCCCAAGCCAAACCATTCCTAGGGGTTCACCACCAGCATCACATCCCCGATATAATGCGAAGTGGAGTTAATAATAAGTGTAGTGGTGTAATATGCAAGCAAGCAGGCAAGTAAGCATATATAAGTGAGCGAATGCGCAAAGCAGGGTGACGTGGTAGAGTGGGTTGCATCTGGGTGATAATGGCTCAGGTAGTGGCATGCATCAATATACTAGCAAATGATTAAATATAAAGCGTTAGCAGTTCTAGATATTTGCAGTGTCTAATAGGATTCTCTAAAAGAGGGTGCTGCCATGACACCTGCGATGTTGAGGTAGTAGTGGTACAAATCTTCGTTAGTTGATGTAGTCGATCAGCAAGGTCTCCTCTTCCCAGGGTCCTGTCGTCGATCACGTTCTCCTTCTCCATCGGTTTCTGATCCAACGTTGTCCTCGTGGCAATTACCTCCAGAACACACTCAAGGCAAGAGAACAAACAATATTCCAAAAAGGCGACAAGACCCAGAAGGAACACAAAGAGGAAATGACTTGGCCCTCGGCTGATGTCCAATCCATGGGCCAAAGAAACACGAGTGGTGGTATGCTGAGCACAAGCTTAAGTCATGGCCAAGCCAGTATGGCTTTACGATAAACGGTTTAAGCCAGAGCTTATCCAGAGCAAACACCACGGCTCATGATCTTTTGATCCGGTGTCATTGAATTGACGGGGATTGGAAGTTGGGCCCCAAGAAAGAAGAACGACAGGGTTTGGCTCTTAATAGCCTTATCCCACAAGACACAATTGGACACGAGTAGCAAACGAGAATGTTTAACACTATTGTAACTTGGCTCCAACGTACTTCAGCTCGCCCGCTATGGTAGAAAGCGGTATCACAAAGAGATTGGACATCAACGTTTCCCCTCGATCCACATGACACAATAACGTCAGGAGCCGAGAAGAGAGTCGCTCAACACGGCAAAAGATGCGGGGGTTAGCTAGGCACATCCATGTCATGTTCTTAGACACATCTTCGGGAAAGATGGTTTTAGACGATCGATCGGGTCGACACGCACGAGTCCGAGGTACGACTTAGACCATAGCTTTGCTCACAAAAGGGAATAGTCCGGTCTTTGATCCAATCATCACGGGCAAGATGGGATCGAACAGAGCGGGCTATCAGGGCAATAAGAGCAAGAACAACCAAGAGCAAGGTCCACTTCTTCTAACGCACACGCCACGACAAAGACGGGGCATCGGAAGGAGCGACACTCAAGTACACCAAGTGCGTAAGCCACTCATAGGGTACCCGACCTGGGTGCACTGGCACTAAGATATCTCTCGGATTAGAAGCGGTGGGGTTGTCAACGTGAGAATCAGAGAAACGTGATGGTCAAACGGGGTACAAGCATACAAGAGCTTGAGCACGAAGAAGCAAACAAAAGTGAAAGAGAGGCGTAGCTCCATGGTCATGGCGAGGCGAACTCGCGACCACAAGCTACACCAACGAGTTGGCACCCATCGTTCCACGATTGTTATCTCCAGGTCATCTCCCACAGGACTTGGTCATGGAGGGCTCAAGGCGTGCGGGTGATATCCGCATCGGTGTTAGTATCGACAATGAATCCATCACGACCATGTTCTAGGGCCAAAGACAGGAGCTAACACTCGTGGTACTATGAAGTCAGCTAAAAAGCGAGGGGTTGAGTTACACTCGGCATCACGGTCATGGCGAGATGGATCCCGCGATCGTAACGTCCGAACGAGGTACGATCCCTCAGCTAGCTCGAAGGCTCGGCACACAGGCAGCAACACCAACAACCAGCGATAAGAACCAAACACGACCGAAAGACGCAACAACTCGACACGACTGCGGAGTAGCACATCTCCGTAGCAACGAGGGAACCTGCATAAGGGCATGGCATATGTGGATTCAGATAGGCATAGATCGTGAAAGACGGGTGTAAGATCGAGTGTATGAAAGAGCGAAGGGAGAGCTTTCATCGGCATCGGAAATGGCGTCCAACTAGGATTCGTCCTTGCGGCAAAGGTGAAGATGGCCAGGGGCGGTTGCAGCTTGTCCCGAAGGGTCGTGGCTTCTTCTGGCCAGCTAAGGCCAGCTACGGCCTGCTGTGGCTAGCTGTGGCTTGCTACGGCTCGCTGCGGCTGGCTACAAGTGGCTATGGTTGACTAAAGGCTGGCTATGGCTGGCCGGGCATGGCAGCGACTAGCGAGAGGTGGCTACTGATGTGATGTCGAGGCAAAAAGAGGTCTTGGGCTAGCGAGTGCGCGTGCATGGTTGTCCAAGCGGTGGCATCGGTAAGGCCCGGTTTGCCACCGTGCTGTTCGTGTGCACCGCGAGCGTCCGGATACGGCGGATCTTGCGTGAGCGTGGCTTGGCACGCCGAACGACGACATGATGAGGCCGTGGGGGTGTGGCGATGAGGCTTGTGCGCGTGCCTGCACTATGGCGGCGCATGTCCGCAGCTCATGGCGTGTGAGCACGAACGGCAATGGTGCCTCCGTAGATGTTTGGTGAAGGTCCGAAAGGACTTGGCTTGTGCTCAGGCGCGTGGTCGTGACCATGAGCGGTCCACTAGGATGGTGGTGTGCCGGAGCTTGTGCGGTGGCGTGCAAGGCATGGCCGCGCGTCACCGCCGCAGGCGCGTGTGCGGGTGCGGTGCTCACGCGTGTGGCTGCAATCACTATGGTCGGCTGTGGCAGTGATGCCACGCTGTGTAGCTAGGGTATCCGGGTGCAGGTACTAGCCGGGCGAGGGCAGCGGTAAGGGAGAGACCTGGCAGTGCATGTGCTGGTGTGGTATCTCCTTACCGGTCCGTGACGTGCCGGCACTCGCGCAACGGTGTGCTAAAGGACGACCGAGCAGCACCGCGTGCAGCTGTGCGTGTGTCCAAGCAGTGTGGCACCACAGCGGTGCGCCGTGGTCGATCGGTGAGTTGGTAACAACGGTTCGACGACCAGCAAACAGAGATGGCAACAAAGGAACGCATAAAGGCGGAACTTTGGGGCTGGCTGTGATCGTGTGCCGCATTGCAACGTCGTAGGCGAGGTCACCGGGCT